AGATGTGCTAAAGTTCAGAGATATAATTGGGGAGGAAGCGCCTTTCTTGCTTCCGAAGATGCTTCCGAAGAGTAGTACGCTTTGCTCGCCTGCGGTGCTGTTCAGAGCGGCCTCCCATTTTTGTGGAGGGAAATCCGAGAAAGATCGCAAAGCCGCGCCCGACGTGGAACAAATCAGTACTCAGTAGCAGGCCTGCCAGGTCGTTGGCGAATGTTGGCGAGAGCAGTTCAACATGGTTCAACATATGCGAGGAAACAAAACAACCTGTCCGTTCGTCTCACACTTCAGCACGCCCAGCAGCGGCATATGACGTCGTAGCATTCAGGCACCGATGGTCTCGCCCCATTCTGAGGTTCTGCTGAACTTCAGTACGCCTTAGTACACCTTAGGCCTCTTGTGAACCTGCGCTCCGAGGTTTCTGGGTGCACCGCCGGGGCCCAGAAATGCCCAGAATAGAGGAGGCCATGAAGAACGTGTGTTGAGACCCCGTTTCCTCTTCAGTCACCATAAGGCAGGCTCCTTTCCGCTGGCTGCCCAGAGGGCACGTTCGCCGAAGGTGTTGTGAACTGCTCTGACCATTCTCTTTTTCATTGGATTGTGTGTGTGTGTGTGTGTGAGACCTTGAAGTATTGAAGTGCCATTGATGTGCCATTGAAGTGGCATTCGGCCTCGATCCAGAGGTCCAACCGGGCAGGGCTCTGAGTGCTTCTGAGATGCTCTGAGTCATCTTCAAAATGATGCAACGATTGGAATTTCGGGTTCTCTTTAAATATTCAGCGAGCAGTGACCCGTCAGTGACCCGCCAGGCGACCAGAGCTGGTGCGAGGTCTCAGCTTTTGCTTTTTTTTTTCTATCTGTGTTTGGTTTTGGTTCTGAGCGTTTTTGAGTCGGGAGAGGAGAGTCCTGAGTCACAGCCCGAGGCGCAGGTCTCGGCTCATTCGGCTCATGCTTTCCCCTCAATTAAGGCCAGCTTGCTGTCCGGGAGCAAAGGCGCCCTGTGCCTTGGTGGCATAACAAAAAAAAGCAAAACCATAAAACGCTATGAACATCCGCAAGCCCCGAATGCCAAAAAAGGGCACAGTGCGGTGCTCAGAGCTGCAAAAACGGCAGGTTGCGTGGTTTGCATGTCAGTGTCACATCTCACAGAACTTCCATGTTTTTTCTGAGGATCGGCAAAGGCTTGCAGGTCCTGGCAGCCAAGGGTGTGCATCTCCCAGCTAGTCCAGCTATTGAGGGCAGCTTCCGAAAACCTTTGCTCTAAGTTCTTGGCTTCTTGGCACTTGCCAAGGTGCTGCCCGGATTGCTCAAAGGCCGAGCAACTGTGAGAGAGACGTTCAGGAATTGCGGGAGAAGATGGGAAAATGTTTCCATTGATCTCTTCCACTCTTCCATACGCGTCGTGTCTCTTCGATACTCGATCAAAGAAGGCGCGGGGCACAGTGTGCACGGCAGTGCCTCAGCATCCGTGCGGGGCAAAGGCCCTCCGTCCGGGCCCGAGGAAGTTGAGGTCGGTACTTCGTGCAAACTCTTCATTTTAGGCCTAGCGCCCCCCCCCCCCCCCCCGACCCCCCACCCCCAGCCCCCCCAGCCCCCAGCCCCCCCCCCGACCCCCAAGTCAGCCCCCCCCCCCCGCCCAGGAAGCCGTAGTGGGAGATTTCTGGAGACACCCAACAACCACTGGGCCACGCTGTATCACATTTGTGAATGTGCCTGAGCGTGGTGGAACGTTCTTTGTTCAGTCAGGCGGCTCTTTCACTCAATTTTTGGCGTGCTGAATCTGCGTGGAAATATGTGTAGGAGAGCTGCTGTCTGCTCGACGAGCTTGCGTTTACAGGCTGCAGGCGATTTGAAAGTTACGCCGTGTTTACATATTTTTTGAGATCCCTCCCAACCCGCCCTGGCCAAGTCGGAGATTTCTGGAGACGCCTACATGACGTTTTCAAGCCAAGCAAGCTGCTGCAAAGAAGATCGTGGAATGAAGAGGACTTGCGCGAAGCTTGCTTCGTCACAGACCGCGCCCCCAGCCCCACCCCGTGGTTGTTTTTTTACTGTCTTTTCAAGCCGCGCAAGCATGCGTTGCAAAGAAGATCGCGCCATCCCGTCACACGAGCATTGTGTTGCCAAACGTAGGGGGAGGGCGGGTCCGCGTTTTCTTCTTACGAGAGGAGGACTTGCGGTTGAAAACAACGGAAGCCTTTACTCCATCTTGCAACCATTGCGTTTGCAAGTGCGGGCCCCGCTTTCTTTGCCAGTGCAAGCTTGCTTTCTGACGAACATCAGCCAATGAAGACTAGACTTGCGTTTTTCAACACACGCAAACAAGTGTCCTTTCCAAACATGCAAACATTGTGTTTTGCAAATGGGGCGGGGGCGGGTGGGCCCCCCCGCAGCCCCCGCTTCCATTTATCTTTAACCCGTCCCATCTTTCTTTGTAAACCGTCATCGAGCGTTGTGTTCACAGATTGGGGAGGGGGAGGAGGCCGCGAGGGGGGAGCTGCCTCCCCTCCCACCCCACCCCCCAACAACCCCCCTCTGCTTTTTATTGTGCCATGAAGAGGACTTGCACCAAGCTTGTTTTGTCCCTCCCATTATTTCTTTGCAAGCCGCACAAGACTGCATTGCAAAGAAGATCGTGCCATGAAGAGGAATTGCGTGAAGCCTGCTTCGCGAAGAACATAAACCCCTGAAGAGGACGTGCGTCTCAAAACACAAGAATCCTCCCCAAACCCACCGTGGGGTGCGGGGGGGGGGGGGGGCGCGTGGGGGCAGTGCCCCAACCCTACCACCTTCGCTTGCCGATGCTTCGTAAAGAACATCAATGGCCATGAAGAAGACTTGCTGTTTAAGATCATGCCAGTGCTTTCCAAATCCCTTCGGGCACTTTCAAGCCGCGAAAGCCCGCCCCCCACGCTGCCCAACGCCCCAGCTTCTTGGTACCAGTGGCTTGCGTTGCAAACCATACGCTTTCCAAACCCCTCGAGCTAGCATTGTGTTGGCAAATGGCAGGGCGGCTGCGCTCCCCCCAATCCCCCGCTTGTGTTTAGCTGTAGCCCGTGCAAGCTTGCTGATCATGCAATGAAGAGGACGTTTAGATCTATGAATCCTTTTCAAACCGGTCATGCGAGCATCGCGTTCGCAAATGAGGGGCAGGGGGTGCGAACCCCGTCGCACCAGCCGTTTGCAAAAGGCGGGGGTGCATCATGAAGAAGGCTTGCGTTCTGAAATGTTTTTTCTAACCCGTCGTGCAACCAAAATTGGGGTTTGGGGCATCCTCAAACCTGCGCTTTTTGTGTATGTCTTCAAGCCGCGCAAGCTTGCGCCGCACAGAGACCTTGTAAACCCATGAATCAATGAAGAGGACGTGCGTTTTCACAGTCGCACACCTGACAGGGGTTCGAATCGGAAGGGGCGCTTGCATTTGGACACGTGTTGCGCCGCGAAGTTGTTTGAGAGGACCCTCCAAATATTAAGAAGAGAAGTCTCTGGCTCGGCGCTCAGCGCTTCAGGCCGGGACAGGCGCCTTCACCACAGGGAGCGCTGGCAGCGGCGCTGGGGCCCCAAAGCATTTCCAGAGCAGATGGGAATTGAAGCACACATAAGCACACTAGTTCCACACCGCAACGCCGGGAATTTCGCTGCAGGTCCGAGGGCTCGCCGAGCTCCCTTTCTGACCCTTTCCTGCGAGAGGTCCAGGGTTTCATGGAGCGCCTGGCGCTTGCAAAATGCAAACCTGCCGGAGTGCGCCTTGCTGAAACGCAGCCTAGGCTGGGACCTGGAAAGACGCTTTGAACCAAAGCTGGCCAACAGCCTAGAATCCTAGAGTCCTGGTTGAAGAGAAAGTAGGAGTAGGCAAAAGCTCCATGCGAATTGCGAGTCGCAACATGGTGTCTGTGTCATGTTTCTTCTGCTTAAAGCCTCAAGGGGCTGTCGCCCACCTCCGGCCCGGCAGGGGCCTGTAACCTTGCGGCGCGTGCATGAACGCAGCAACGCTGACTTTTTGGGCCTCCCCGGCCTCCCCACACTGCTCGCAGACCCTTGCCAAAGGGCCCATGATCGGTAACATTCGAGCCACGGATGTGGTTGTCTTGACACAGGGATGGACAGGTGACGCATCCAGCCACTGTCAAACGAGAAATCGAACAACAAATTTAAGGCATTATCAAGGCGTTAGCCGTTAGCCTTGACAGAGAATAGCGCGCCCCGGCTGGGGAGAGAGGATTTGGCAAAAATTATGTTCGTGCGGGGGGGACCACGCTGGGACCACACCGGTCCCAAGTAAACTGCGAAAATCAGAAACTAACCGCGAATCAGAAACTAGCGTGATTCAGAACCTGCGAATTAGAAATCCGAGAGAATACTAAGATGCGTATCAGAAACCCGAGCTATGCGAGTCAGAACTGCGCATCAGAAGCCCGCGCATTAGAAACCAGCGAGATTCAGAAATTGCGAATCGCATCAAAAACCCACGAGAAGTGCCAAGCGTTGGGAGGGGGGGGGGTAGGTGGGTGGGCAAGCAAACGTTGCTCGAAGTGGTGCAGCAGGGCTCAAGCGAGAAATACTCCGGAAAAACCAACGGGTTAGTGCTTGAGAGTTGAGGGTTTCGGTTTTGGGTCCTTGGGTTCCTACTCAGCCGTTTTGCCACAGAGTCAGCGGCGTCAGCGATGATGCTGCCGGTCCCGGAGCATGAGAGAGACAGAGGGGGCGGGGAAAGAAGTTGGGGAAAAAACAGGCGGTGAAAGCCGATTAGCAAGTACTAGGTTAGTCATGTCTGTTGTTTACACCAATTTACAGGCTCCGGGTTCAATCACAATCACAATCGATTCCAGTACGGACTGCATCGCCCTGCTGTCGACTCCAGATATTATTTCTCTTCTGGCAAGCAGAGGCAGCCGGATTGCTGTAAAAGTGAGCAGAACGGGACGTACTACGGCGCTACGGGCCCACGATTTCAGTTCTCGGGTTTCGCTGAATGATATCTGGCGTTCAGCTAGCAGCTCAATATGCAAAGCAGAAACTTAGCTGAGGTGGCCTACCTGAAGCGAACGGGGGCGCCCCCACTCCAGGCTGTGCATGCATTGCAGTGGCCAAATTGGCAAGCAGAGCCTTTCTTATCGTCGCTTTCAGGAGATTCACTTGCCTTGTTGAGGTGTGACCTTTCGTTAGAATTTCTCGAACTTCAGGGTGCAACAAGTTCTACCCAACACCGTTTAACAATTCAGGACCACAACATTTTGCCTTTTTTCACTGAGGATACTGATGGAGAGCTTTTCTTAAACAGGGGTTGTACTGCGAATGGAGTGCGAAGCACGAGTCGTGAAAACGAGTTCAATGAGGAGGAGCTTCAGCGGCTGGAGCGGGAGCTACTGCAAGCCGGCGCCCCTTGGCCTCAGACGGTGCGGCCAGAGAGAGAGATGTGCTATGACGTGCTTTCAGCTATTGAATAGCTGCTTTCTCTTCTGCTGCTTTCTCTTCCCTTCTCAGGTGCCCCCGGTTTGCCGCTCTGGCTACCTGCTGGTTGTGTTTGGAGAGGTCAGCGAGAAGAGCCCCCTGCCTCAAGCAGAGTCTCAAGCAGAGCCTCAAGCAGAGTCTTTGCCCTTGCTCTCGCAGCTGCAGTGCTACGGAGCAAAAGGCACAGACGAGGACTTCCGCTATCTGCTGACCGGGAAGCCGAGCAGCCTCTTTTTCTTCTTCTTTGCCGCAATGCAGTAATGCAGTAGCCAGTCGCTGCGCGCCAATTTTTCACGCAGAATCTTGTTGCCAGGCGAGAGGGAAGGCTGGGCACTGGGCACCACATTGGGCTCGTTTTTTTTTTTGTTTTTTGCTTTTTTTGTCTTTTCAGTCCTCCGCCGTTCTCTGTCTGTTCTTTCCCTGTTCTTTGCGGCTGGTAGGGACGAGTCACCGTCACCGGAACGAAGAGAGAAGAAGGAGAAGAAGGAGGCCGAGGAGAAAGGCCAGCAAGGGAGAGGGGAGGGCCCCGGGCCCCCCCCCCCCCTTCTCGCCTGAGAAGAGCGCGCGCCACACTTGTGCTCTCTTCCCAATTGGTTTCTCTCAGGGCCATTTTATGCCATGCAACTGCACAGAGAGAGCCGGGCTTCCACAGGGAGAGGGAGACAGACGTGCACGTGTGTCTTCAACAAAAGAGAGAGAGAGGTGTGTGGTTGTTCTCCCTTTTTCTTTCTCAGGAGGGGGGGGGGGGTTTTGGGTGTTCAGGGCGAGATCCTCCTGTTTCTTCTCAGGTTTTTGGCTTTCTCGGGGGGGGGGGGGGGGCAGTGAATACACAAAAGTGTTCTCTCGGGAGTCGGGCTTGATGGACTACAAGGAGTTCCTGATTCCGCGTGTGGTGGATAGCTATGCTCGTCGGGGGAGGTGCGTGGCAAGTACCTACAAAGTGTTCCGGTGGGTGAGGGGTAAATGCTGAAAAAGGTGTTCCCCCTGACTCCCGGTTCTTGCCCAATTATCGGGGGCTGAGAGAGGAGACTATGAAAGAGATGGCGGAGAGATGACGGAGAGATGAGAGCGGGAGAAAGGGAGAGAGCGAGAGATGACCGTGGGTCAGCTTCTTGGTTAGATGTGTCGCCTCGGGATAGGACTTGGGCGCGAGTGTGCGCGAGGGGTCGTCGCGCACCTCCAAGCCCAGCAGAAGAAGAAGAGGTGAAAGAGAGACCAGAGCGAGAGAGAGAGAGAGGGAGACAGAGAGAGCGAGCGAGGGAGAGCGAGAAAGAGACAGAGAGGGAGATAGGGAAGGATAAGGAGAAAGAGAAAGAAAAAGAGAAGAAGATAAAGAGAAGAAGAGAAAGAGAAGAAGAGAAAGAGGAGAAAGAGAAGAAGAGAAAGAGAAGAAGAGAAAGAGGAGAAGGAGAAAGAGGAGAAGGAGAAAGAGGAGAAGGAGAAAGAGGAGAAGGTAAAGAGGAGAAGAGAAAGAGAAGAAAATAATGAAATAAATACTCTATGCATTCGAAGAAAGAAAGAAAGAAATATAACAAGAAAGAAAACAAGAACGTGACAAGTCCGCTTGCATATGCCGGGCCTCTCACCATGGGCAGAGTGGTGCTATGACCACCACTCCAGGCTCCTCTTCCACCACTCGCCTCTGTCCTCGGAGGCTGGGGTCCAACAAGGTGACCCTCCGGGCCCTGTGCTGTTCGCCTTGACCTTGCAGCCAGCTCTCCAAGCCGCCTCTGCAGCTGGTTCAGGGCAGCACCCCGACCTTACCTTCGCCCTCCTTGATGATGCCTATCTTGCTGGTGGGTCTCGACAGGTTGCTGGGGGCCTGGCACGCCTCGCTGCTGCAGGCCGTCAGGTTGGCCTTGAGAACTCAACCTGAGCAAGTGCGTCCTCACTACTTGTGCTGGTGCTGACAGCGCGGTTGATAAGAGGATCTTTCCGGAAGGTTTGCAGGTAAGCCCGCTCGGGGCTATGAGTCTCTTGGGCGCCCCCATTGGACCTCTGGCCGACACGGAAGCCCACACTCGTGTTACAGGCCTTGGGTGAGCTCCCTGACCCCCAAACTGGGCTCCTGTTGTTGCGTCACTGCGCTGCCTACAGCCGGATGGTCTTTGCTATGCGCGTCACACCGCCGCAACTCCTGGGTGAGGCCGCGTCTGACTTCGACTCGGCAGTCCGCGACTGCTTGGAGCGCTTCTGCACGGGGCCTCTGTCTGCAGAAGCCTGGCTGCAAGCCTCCCTCTCCACTGCCGCTGGCGGCCTGGGTTTGCGACGCCAGGCATTCTGCTGCTGCCTACGTAGCCTCCCTCACTGCAGTACTGCTCCGGCCTGGACCCGAACTACACAGGTACCTGGCCTTTGGCTGCCGCTGACACTGAGCTTCTCAACCAGCTTGTTTTGCCTGCCGACCATGTCTCGGTCCCTGCGCCGCCCTCTGTGCGACAACAATCCTTGTCGTTGGCGCTGGATCGTCACCCCTGGTGCCGGCCGCGAGGCCTTCAGGGCGAACCTGCAACTCCAGCGGCAGCTGCGTGCTGGGGCATGGCTACACGCTGTGCCTTGTGAGGCACTCGCTCTTTTCCGTGTGCTTGTCAAGCTCCGCCTCCGCATCCCGGTCGCGACGGCCGACGTGGCGTGCCCCCTCTGTGATGGCGTAGCGGACAGGTTCGGGGACCATGCGCTCAGCTGCCCATGTGGTGGCGACCGGACTCAACGCCACAACCGTTTGCGCTCCGTCCTGGCCGCCCGCACACAGGCCGCAGGCCCCCACCCCGAGTGGAAAAAAACTGGTCTGTTGCCTCCAAGGTCCGGGCAGGATGGACTGCCGGTTGATGGGGCGCTCGACCGTAATGGCCGTCGGCCCGCGGACGTCTATCTGTTTAATTGGGGGGTTCATGGCCCCGCTGCCTTCCACCTCGCCGTTACCGCAGGCTTGCTGCAGGGCAGTCTGCACACTTTGCTCTCTGGAGCTGACAAGCCTGCGGCAGATCACGAGGCCAACAAGCGCAGTCACCTGCGTACCCAGGACCTCTGCACGGAGCAAGGCATCCAGTTCGTCCGTCTGGTCGTTGAAAGCCGGGGCGGCTGGGGCCCTACTGCCATCAAGTCTTGGCAAACTCTCGCCGCAGCAACAGCGGCCTGCTCAGGAGAAGCAGTCGCCACTGAGGCCAACCGGCTCTACGAAACTCTGGCTGTAGCGCTGCAACGAGAGAATGCCAGGGCGGTTCCAGATCTGAGCTGACCTTGTATCCGTAGTCTGTTTTCCGTAGCTGCGCTTTCGCTCGTCCACCTGCGATGCTGAGCGCTTCGGTGTTGCCAGTACTGCTTGTTGCTTGCGCACACTCATCTGTAGTGTGGGTCGCGCAGCCCTCCAAACCCTAAACAAGAACGAGAAAATGACAGAGAGAGAGACAGAGAGACAGAGAGACAGAGAGACAGAGAGACAGAGAGACAGAGAGACAGAGAGACAGAGAGACAGAGAGACAGAGAGACAGAGAGACAGAGAGACAGAGAGACAGAGAGACAGAGAGACAGAGAGACAGAGAGACAGCCCGGGGCGCCGCCACCCATCCTGGGGGCCTCTTCCCTGAAAAGGAAGAGGAAGAAGATGAGAGAGAGAGAGCGAGAAAGACGAGAGCGAGATGACATGAGAGCGAGGTGAGAGAGCGAGCGAGGTGAGAGAGCGAAGAGACGAGAAAAAGAGCGAGGGAAGGAGGCGAGAGAGATATTGAGGGAGAGAATGAAAGGGCAGGGACAGAGATGTGAGAGAGGAGAGAAAAGAGAGAGAGAGAGAGAGAGAGAGAGAGAGAGAGAGAGAAAGAGAAAGAGGGCCTGGCGCGCTGGGGATCTCCCCCATGCCCTGCAGCAGAAGAAGAAGAGGAGGAGGAGGAGGAGTAGGAGGAGTAGGAGGAGGAGAGAGAGATAAGAGAGGAGGAGAGAGAAGCGAGAAGATATATAAACAAAGAGAGACAGAGCGATAAGAGAGAGAGAGAGTGACAGATACTTGAGAGAGAGAGAGAGAGAGAGAGACGGAGAACCCCTTCCGCGTCTGCCACAGTTTCACTTGAGACCGGATTCGGGGGCGCCCGCGCGCGAGGGCCTCCGGGCCCTTAAGCCCAGCAGAAGAAGAAGAAGAAGAAGAAGAGGAAGAGGAAGAGGAAGAGGAAGAGGAAGAGGAAGAGGAAGAGGAAGAGGAAGAGGAAGAGGAAGAGGAAGAGGAAGAGGAAGAGGAAGAGGACGAGGAAGAGGAAGAGGAAGAGGAAGAGGAAGAGGAAGAGGAAGAGGAAGAGGAAGAGGAAGAGGAAGAGGAAGAGGAAGAGGAAGAGGAAGAGGAAGAGGAAGAGGAAGAGGAAGAGGAAGAAGAACACGGATAACACACTTCAGTTCGGATCTCGTGTCGTGCACTGCGCCATTTTTTTCCGTCTACGTAATACGTATCTGCGTGCGGGTTCATGGTTCCTATGTTTTTCTTCTCTCACTTTCTCTCTGATTGAGAGCTCTTTCATGTTTTCGGCAGGTGGCGACTCCAAGAGCCCAGGCGCAGGCCACTTGGGGGGGGGGGCCTGCGCGCTCCGATTCCGTGGCCGCTGGCGGCCGCTCTGACAGCTCACTTTCTTTTCTCCTTCTGTCATTTTTCTTATCTTCTTGTCCTTTCTTTGCTTTCTGTTCTTTTTGTTCTTTCTTTGTGGCAAGGGGCCTGTGCCGAGAGCGAGATTTGCGGGAGTCAGACCTGCAAAACACAGTGCTTGCGTGTTTTCATTGATCATTGAGTTCTCAAACACAAACCCCCCCCCCATATTCACCACATATATGTATGTGTCGCCCAGTCCAGGGTTTATCCAATCTCAGATCACGAGCTGCTCCTGTCGCGCACTTGTCAAATTGCTGAATGCCACCGATTTTTGCGCTTGCATGGCATCGAGCTAAGCTCATTAATGTGGTCTGCTGATTAGTCCGCCCCCCTCCCCCACAAGGGCATATGGGTTGCTCACTGAAGCGGTGGCTATTATGTCTGATGGAAGAGACCATGTGGCTGGTATCCCCAACACTGGGCCCCCCTGAGAAAACTGGAATCCCAAAAAGTCTGGAACCTTAAGGGGTGATATCTTTAGTTCCCTGTCCCCCTCCCCTGTACCCTAAACCCTAACCCCCCAACCACACCCACACCACAGGCGTGGGGGTAGGAGGGAGGATGGGGGCAGGGATACCACCAAAAACTCAAGGGCAAGCTGTGAAATGTTGTAGCTCAGGCTAACTAAATTCATTGAATTGTTTGCCATTTCTACCTCAAGACACACACGAAATGGTGGATGCAGGGGGGATAACAAACATACGTATATAGTTCATGAATGAATGAGTTTGTTTGCCAGACACACAGCTTCAACCTGGAGGTGCGAAGCCAAGCGAGCGCAGTGGTCGGGAAGCCCAGAGACGGCCAGCAGAAGCCTGAGAGAGGTAAAGCCAGTTTCTGTCAGGATGGTCAACTTTCAAAACAATGTCTAACAATGTGGTAACCCTCCCATGCCGTCATCCATCACTAGCTTTGACGAGCCTGAAGCTGTTACTGGTGTGTCAAGTATCGCTCTGGGTCCTCTGCAGCCTATGCGGCATGTTCAGAGCAATCCGGCTTTGTTAAGCCGCTTCCGTTTGTTTTGTTTTTCGCTTTTGATGCTGGAGCCTTTGGCGTGGCCTGAGACTTCCCAAACATGACAACGCAAATGGCCGGTTGATTCCCTTGGGAGGTTTGAGGCGCGTCGAAAAGTGAGATCTTGGAAGGGTCCTGTGTTGCGAGGTGCACCGCCCCTTCCCGAGGGCTGGATGAACGAGGAGGCCCGGAAAGTACATGGCAAGCACACAGCACTCGCAGCACGCGGCAATTTGCAGATCGATGCGGCTTGCACGCGATTCAAGCTCGACGAGACCGTGCGGAACCGCCTCGCCAATGCCATGCGCAACCGTGCAAGCACTTTCAAGGCATCTGTTCAATGCAACATGCTGCAGCCGCTCAGAATACGGGAATCGCCTTGTGCCGCCGAAGTTTTGCTCTCATGTGCTGTTATAAGTCGTAGCGGTCATTTGAGGCCTCTGGCAAGATTTTTTGGGTCAACAAAAAATGGGACGGTGGCGCCATTGAGCAAATGGCTCTCGAGAGGAAGGTCGACTCGCTCTGCGTCGATTTTTGAGCCGTGGGTCAGCACCTCTTTGCTCTATAGATACTGATGGGGGACTACCGGACTACCACCGTGCTTGCCTGTAATCCTGCCCGGACTTGCCCTTGGACTCGCGGATGCTGGCACATGCCCTTAGCAATCGCGGCGGGCCAGAGCACTCATGAGCGCTCGTTGTACTGTTGGAGTCCATCGTGCTTGCTTTGCTCTGATGGTGCCCACGTGTTTTCCTGACCATGGCCTTAAGCCACTGAAGCAAGTAACAAGCACAGCTTGGGTCTAGCAGCTGTCCGATCGTTCAACGACAGATGAAAAACCATGTGAAAAGTGTAGCCCACCAACTGGTGACCTGCTTTCCGCGTTATCCTCCGCAGATAATGCGTGCCTTCTGTAGTTGACATTGTGTGCACGTCTCGCAGCGCCCGCGGTTAGGACTGCAACCCTCACGGCACGAGGAAGGAGGTCTCGCCGTCAAGGTCGATTTGTGATTTGTGGTTGTTCACTTCCACGCCCTGGACTTGTGACGGGGCCGGCACGTGTTTGTTGTAGCTGACACCCGTCATCAGTCTCGAGTCGCCGCCTGACGAAGACACTCCTTGAGCTGCATCAAAGCTTTGTCGGCGCAACCCCATGTTCCAAGAACAGCAAAGGCCCCCGCTGCTTGTCACCTGCACGGTCCAGAGAAGTACCTGCGCTGTCCTGTCTAGCTCCACGTGGCGCGGGTCTCGAAGCAAATGATTGGTTGTGACTGCGCATTGACCCTTTCTTGAAAGGGAGTTGTGTCATTGTATAGTTGCAAACGCTTGCCCGCGCCGCCCCGGCAGCTGGGCCGGCCCGGAACAGGGTGCAGTATGTGGAGAGAGATAATGATCTTTGTGGCGCACAGCAGCAGCAGGAGGCAGGAGTGGTCCCCTCTGCAGGAGCCACCGACCCCTCACGGCATTAAGCGATCCGGCAGGGTGGGGGAGGGAGGGGGGGATTGCGCGAGTGCGGGGGAAGGATTTGCAGCATCCGGACGGCTCGGTGCATAAAGTACATTGCGTCACAGTTGATCAAAAGATGCTTGCATGGAGTTGCTTTTGAAGTGGACACTTTGCGCACCTTCGTTTATTTACGGGGCCACGTGGGAATCTTATTGCCCGTTTGAGGTAGCGATTTACCCTCGAGGTCGTCCACGCTAATCGTGCGCAAATCAAAGCCAAAGGAACTGAAGAAAATTTGGCGGCTCATATGTTGTGAGTTTTTTTGGTGCAGCTCGGTTTTCTGCGAATGCACCTCGTCATTGAAACAGGAGGACATGCGGACCTTGAACGATGTGATGCGAGCGGCCAAACATCCCAAAGGCAATGCCATTAGCTCATGCTACACTCAACATGAACTCAACCTGAAGCCCCATGGAGAAATGTGGGGGAAGGCGCAGTGCAGCTGAAACTGCGGGAGATCGAGCGCGGGACCTTCTCGGTCCGTGACCCTCAGGGGCTCATGAGCGGCTCATGAGCCTCATTCATGATCTCAGCGTTAGCGTGGGAAGCGGAACGAGAGGCACGCAGCTACTCGCCCCTGGGGCCGACTCCTGCCGAGAAGCAGGAGTTGTTGGGGGTTGCGGGCATGGTGGTCTCTTGTGGTCTCTTGTGGTCTCTTGTGGTCTGTTGTGGTCTGTTGTGGTCTGAGAGCTGGAGTTTGAGATCTTCGCGTTCGCTGTTGCACTGCATTCGCGGCACTGCAAGGTTGTGCAGATCTGTGAATTGCAGTCTGCAAGCCGGAGGACATGGAGCGAGCGGCCAAAGAGAAAGCCGAGAAGGTGGAACTTGCGGAAGAACGGAATCAGACTGTTCTTCTCTCTCTCTCTCTCTCTCTCTCTCTCTCTCTCTGCTCTCTCCATTCTTTCAACGAGCTTCTCTTCATGAGGTTTGATTATATGTTTCCTCTAAAGACTGTTAGGTAGTTTTCTCTTTCCCTTTACTTTAATCTGTTCCCTTTTTGAGCCCAGGAGAAGGGTGAGAAGGGCGGCGAGAAGGGCGAGAAGGGCGAGCGGAGGGAGAGCCGCGGCCGCTCCGAGCGGCGGCGCCGGAGCCGCTCGCGATCCCGAAGGCGCCCCAACAAAATTGAAAAACTGCCAAGAAACTGAATGCCTTGGGCCTTAATTGATCTCTTTTTTTCTCTTTGTTTTTGTGTTTTTGTGTTTCTTTAGTTTCCCTCTCCATTCTCTCCTTCTCTCTGAGCCGGAGACTCTTCCCTCTCGGACTCCCTCTCGACTCCTGCTCTGAACGCCTGAACGTCTGAACGTCTGGAGGCGCGAGCGTGACTGAGATGGTCCCCTCTGCGCGAGAGAAAACAAAAAGGAGGAAACTGAGAGGCACTGAGAGGAACTGAGAGGAGCGAAGAAAGAAGAAAGCGATTGCAGCTGCAGAGAGGGAGCAAAGAGATCGGGGCACGTTTGCGGACTCATGGGTCACATGGGTCACATGGGTCGGTCAATCTGCAAAGCTGCAAAACGCCTGAACTGCAGCACTTCTTGCTCAGGAGGCCTCTTTCTCACCCAAACTGGCGTAAGAAGCAGGCTTGGGCGGGCACGAGTTGGCATGCCGAGCAAAGCCGCGCCTGGCGCCCGGGTGCGAAGAGGGTGCTTTTACTGCGAAGCAAAGCTCGAAAAAAGAACAGCTCGCCACGGAGAGAGGCAGAGAGAGGGAAGACAAAGAGAGAGAGATAGAGCATATTGCCCGGGTGGCACCTTCTGAGTCTCCTCTCTCTGAGGCCCCAAAGAGGGAGCAACCGGCTCTTCGTACGAGACGTGGTCAGCTTCTGGATGATCAGCGCCCTGGCTTTTGAAGAGAGAGAGAGAGGAGGGAGTCGGATGAGAACGAGAGATGAGAGAGAGAGAGAGATGAGAGAGAGAGTGTGAGAGAGCGAAGTCGACACGCAGTGAGCTTTCTCCACCTGCCACCCCACCCCCGGCCCGCAGCTCACCGACTCGCAATGATTCGCAGATTGTGTGAACTGCAAAACGTGCGTGTAACGTTTGGTGAGCTTTGTGAGCTTTGTGAGCTTTGTGAGCTTTGAGGTGGGGGCCTCACGGTGCTCTTCATCTGGACTCCAGCTCACCATCGCTTCGTGTGCTTCGTGTGCTTCGTGTGCTTCGTGTTAACGGCGAAGACTGCGCGTCTGTCTCTCCATGTCTCTCCTCATCGCGTCTCACATTTTCAGCGCAGGATGCTCTTCGGAGGCAACTGTTTCCGACAGCTGAACGAGGCGAACTGAACGATGGCCACTGTGGCCATTCCCGAGGTCCTCGTGCGAACATGTGTGAACTTCAGTGTGAACCTGAATTAGACAGAGTCTCAGAGTCTCTCATGCTGCGCTGACTGGGCTGACTGTGCCATGCCGGCTGCAGTGGAAACCCGCAAGGATCGGGACACCCGTATCACTCTCCCAAGAGCATCGTGACCGCCAAGCCACCAGAAAAGAGCTGCTCAAGCGATTTGTCTGAACACTCGGCATGCTCAGCAGTGCTGGCGGCGGATTTTCTCAATGAACAAGGTGTGACAAAGGTTCACATCGGGAGCATATCAGTGTTTTCTGCAGTATGCAACTGGGTGATGAAGGCAGGCACAAGAATCGCAGAAGCACTGAGAGCACCTGTTTGGGATATGGGCAAGCTCATGTGAATCACGATGGCGCTGCCCGGCCACGGTCGCCATCGCAGCCGTTTCGGGTGCACCCCACGGCTGACTCTCCAGAGTTCGCAGAGCTTCCTAATTTGCGCGTGTTTTGTGTTTGCTGTTGGAGAGTTGGCCGAGAGTCGGCTATCGAAGTCGTCTGATGTTTGTGTTGTGACCTTGGGCTAAAGGGACCCGTGAACTCAAGGAGAAAGTGGATGCAGAGCCTGCAGAGCATGATACATCAAAGACCAAGTCAAACAGCCACTCTGCAAATCGCGCCGAGCAAGTAGGAGTCGGAGAGCTGAAGATAGCTGCGGCGTGCAAGGTTTGGAAGGGCTTGGTCAAGAATTGAAGCCGCAATTTTGTTCAGCGGGCCAATTGTGTGCATCTCAATCCTTGGTATCGTTGACAAAGTGCACTGCGCCGCTGTTTTTCGTCGCGGCTAGCCAAACAGTCAGGTAGGAGCCCGCGTCTCTCCGAAACCAGTATCAACTGAGACGGCGCAACAAGACAAGCAGGTGGAGCAGCAGACATCGAACGAAAGTTCGAAAAGAGAAAAGATGCCGAGATCCAGAAGAAGGAGTAAGAGCACAAGAAGGTGCAGTGAGAATTGTCAAGAACTGAAGCAAGCAATCTTCTCGATTGTGTTCCACATGCCCGAACGAACAATCTTAGAAAAGGAAGAAGGCGAAAACTGAGCACGATCAGAGAAGATCATTGAAGAGCATAAGCAGAGCAGCGCAGAGCAAAGCAGAGCAAGGCAGAGCAAAGCATGTCCAAAGATCTCTTGAAGCTGGCGCTTGTCTTGGAGGTTAGTGGCTGGCGGCCGTGCTTCCTTGCGAGGCTGGGGCGGGGGACGGGAGTGCCCCCCCCCCCCAAAAAAAAAATCGGAGATGTTCGCTCTTAAGTGTTCTCTTGGGTCGATCTTCAAACTGATCACATGAGGAGGAGCTTGTTATCTAGAATGCGTTGCAAAATGTTGCAATGGCACAATGCAAAAAAAAGAAGACCAGAGGTTCGCCGAGGGCCGCGCTGCCGCCGCAGCCCGCTGTGCCGGCGCCCGCTGTGCCGGCGCCGCCCGGCGCCGGCCCCGGCGCCTGCCCCGGGCCCCCTGGGCCGCGAAGCGAGCAAAGGCGCGCCCGCGCGACACACAGAGCGGTGTTGCACGGAGACTTGCAATGGCCCAGGGCTTTCTTATAACTCGAATGAGGATGGTGGAGACTTGACACTACACCCATCCCAGAAGACTTCAAAAAGAAGACGATGTGGCATGCACCTCTGACAGACGGTGACAACAATAGATGACCCCGGTCTACAGCTGCAGAGTTGCGGGAACGAGCGGGGCCTTGTTGGCCGTGCCCAACGGGCCGCGCCCAATTGGACGCGCCAGGGCGCGGGCTGGTGCTGTGGTCTTTCGGTTTGTGGGACTCCAGATCCGCTTTCTTCAACTCAAAGCCACCTCGTCATTTTCGCGCCCTTGAAGCAGTCACGCCGAGAGCGTCGCTGAACTCTGAACGTAGCCCCACAGTGTGAGGTATGCTGTGGAACACACAGTTCGAATCCTAGAAGGATACTGTATAGAACGCCCCGGGGGCCCTGAACCATAGGTTCTGTTTCTCTTAAACATCTTGTTCACAGGAGCCATGGTGAAAGCCATGGTGGAAGGGTTAACAAAGGGGGCCCCGTGTAGCCGGATCGCGCAGAGCTGAGTGTGATGAGATGAAACACGTGCAAGAAGAAGATGCTGATGCTGACCCAGAGAGTCTGAGAGGACTGGGCTTCGGGAGCCTCGGGAGCCTCGGGAGCCTCGGGGGCCTCGGGGGCCTCGGGGCATCCGGGAAAGCCAACGAGAAGGCGAAGGCGCATGCCGCACACCTTGGGAGCATGGGGAGTCGCGTGTATGGTACACTGTGGCTCTCTCTCGCTCTCTCTCTCCGAGGCGAGGCCTCAGAGCTGGGCTCAGAGCAGGGCCGCTGCCCTGCCGCGGCAGGAGCCCCAGAGCGGAGATCCAATGTGCTCTCTGCGAGGCTCTTCGTCCAGGGTTTCTCAGTCAAGCGCGAGACAAGAACGAGCATGGAGACAGAGAGAGAGAGAGAGAGAGACAAAAAAAAACCTAAAAAGAAGAATGAAAGTGTAGAAAGAAGAGAGAGCAGAGCTTCAACAGCTGCTCTCACACAAGCTTGAAAGGAGAAAAATCAAAGTTGCTCTCCTCTCTCCGCCTTGATAAAAATCGCAACTCTTCCAGTTTCATCTTGCCTTAGATCATCCGAGAACCTATTGTACGAGCTGCCACAGAAAACGGGGGTATTCGAAGGTCCCCTTAACAACCAAAGAACAACAGAGGTTTGAGGGCAGCTTTAAACAGCTGGGGTCAGCCGCGTTCTTTTCTGCTGTGTCTGTTGCTTATGCGGCATATGCGTTCTTGGCCATGGCAAGCGTTCGGAACATGGAGCAGCCGGCGCAGCTCCTCCAGCACGTTTTGCCACCACAACAGTTCAACACTGCCCCCGAAGTGGCTGTACACGGTTGTACATGGCTGTACAGAACCCCAGAATCCTTTGCCCCATGCCCGAATTTCACATCTGAGCAGTCATACAACACTGGCCCGTACGCTAAAAATCCAGGAAGGGATCAAAACTGCACCTGCAGTTTTTGCAGAAGTTTGTCGTTCTCGCAAACCTGCAAGCCCCACCAACATCGGCATACTCGGGCTTCGGCACCTGTCGAAGTGGATCCTTCATCGAGGCCTGACGAAGCTGCTGAGCTTTGACGGCACCGTTGTGAGGGTGGTGTTCTTGACACGGAATGGACGAAGGCGCCACAGCTCGAGCGTCACATTCAGGGCGACCTTCAGTGGACCGTGGACGGCTGGTGCTTGGCACCGCTCAGCGCGACCTGCCAGAGCCGCTGGTGCACGGGCTGCCATTTTATCCCGTTGACTCCTGCCGAAGCTGGCTCAGTGCGCTAGCCCCGTAGTGTAATTTGAATTTGCTCGACCAGCTCGCCTGAGAGCACAGGGTTGTGATCCAGTCTTGAAGATTGGTATTGGGTTCGTGGTACCGATTTTTCGATTTTTCTCACGCACTGAACCTCACTTAAGCTTTATACTCACCAGTCCGCACACTGATCTTTAGCTCTCCACCAGCAACTTGCAGCCCAGCGCCGTTTTTGAAAGGGCTGGTATGTAGGCTAGGCCTTTGAAGCGTTGCTGCATCTTGTGACAAGCACGGCTTCCATGGCCCTTCAACATACACATGCCCCCAAGGCATCAACGTCTGCTGGGGCCCTGGACTCAGATCTGGCATCTGGCAACATCTGGCAACGGACGGGAACATCAGACTCAATACATTGCTCCAGGTGGCGAAGCCGAGCGCCCGTCGAACGGCTCACGACCGAAGGACCCCGACGACCGCTGCCGCCACAGCCTTACAGCCTTTCTACGGCCTTACGCGAACTAGCCTTGGAAACTGCGATTTCGGTCCATGACACCACTCCATGACACCTTTGTGGCGCGTTCAGTCGCAGTTGAAGCCCTCTCACCTCCGGAAAGGCATCTTAGCGGCATATGTTTGCCACATCTGAATCCGTGGTTGCAGGAACAAAAAGGCGCAGAATCAACAACACTAGTTGCGTCGTTGCGAGCTTCAGGC